TATTTCTTTTTCTTTACTATATTCTTATTTTTTTACTTTTCTATTTTTCTTTTTTTCTTTTCTGCACCTTCTATTTTTTTTTATTATTTTTTTTAGTTTTTATTAGTTTTTATTGTTGCAATTGTAATGTTTAATAAAATCACTATTAAAAAAGATGGGCCCATAAATATTGATTAGGGATGTGCAGTTATTCAGATCGAAAGCAATAAAGGAGGGGGACATGGGCATGTTGGCTATACCTGTTAATGTCTCCTTAGTTAGAAAAGGGTCTCATGGCAATCACCTAGTCCCAGGAAAACACATATTTTGAATTAAAGAGCTGTAGTACCCCAACACAGTCTGTTTAACTTCTACTAATAACTATTTACTAATATTGTCATGGCTTTGGACAGTCAAGTCTTTCTTGCAACATTTTTAGTAGAAGTGCCTTAGCTTATTAGCCTTGGCATACCCATGCCACATGCAGTATTCCCTGCTAATGGAAGGAATAATACTGATCACTTTTAGTATCTTTATTCAGCATGCCAGCAATACAAACAAAGCTTAGTTCAACCAAAAGCATTTTCATTCTATTCTATTCAAGCCTTACTTTTCTAGTCTGAATGGCAAACACAATACAATCTACATTCAAAACTATGATTTAAAATAAGTTTACATATTTAGAATATCAATCTGAAAGTGGAAAAATCACAAGATAAAGCTAGAAAAAGACTAAAGAAAAAACACATATTCACTATAAATCTGGAAACAGATCTAGAGATAGATTAATTCAGACTTCAAGGAATTTCACAAAGTGTCAATGGCTGTTGATAAGACACATTTCTCTGTGTGGCTAGTAATCTGGCTTCACCTTATGGAAGTGTATGCAGTTGTTTTTATAAGCCAGACAAATTCATGTGGTACTTTGGTTCTAGGTGGTTTAAGGTTTAAAAGTAATAACCAGCACCTTAAATGGCATCTGAAAATAAATGGTAAGCAGTGTAGCTAAAGAGTGGTATTATATACTCTGATCTTTTAGAACCAGTAACAACCCTAGCAACCATATTTTAGACTGGCTGTGGCTTCCAAAGCATCTTCAAAGGCAGCCCAATGTAGAGTGTGTTACAGTAATCTAACCCAGAAGTGGCAAGGGACTTGGTCAATCTGGAAAGTTCAGTATGATCCAGAAAGAGTTTGGTGCACCAGCTGAAACTGGCTGGATATTCCTCATTCCACAGCAATCATCTAGGGATCAAACAACAAGACTGGGTTGAAGAACATCCCAAACTGCATATTCTATCCTTCAGAAAGTGTGTGACTCCACCGAAAGTTAGACAGGCAACCAAATTAGGCCAGCCTTTTGCATCACTCACAACATCTTTCTTTTACCTTAATTTCAATTATTAGCCTGCTTAGTAAAATTGTTTACAGAACAGGTGGTTAGCTGATTGTTGAGCAAGAATTCTGGGAGCTATATTCCCAAAATATCTGGAGGGCATTAAGGTGAATAATGGTCTTGAATATTGATCTTGTACATAACATGCAGTAATACTAAACCATAAATGCAGTTTGCTTTTAATGCAATCTACAAAATCACGTGTTATGGCTTGGCATTATATGCAGACTAGGCCACTAAAACTTGTTCAACAAATCATGGTTTAAAATCTTGGTTTACAGTTATATGTGAATGCAGCTTTCTACTTATAAAATAGCATTTAGAAAGACCTACTTCAAAGCAAAGATGGCAGATTACTTTTTACACAACCTATATGCTAGTAATAATAAAAAATTAAGTATGAAATGCATTTATTGAACATTTTTGTGTCTTGCCTTTCTACCAATATTGGGCTCCCAAAATGGCTTAAAATAAATTTTAAAAATCCAGGCCTAGCTAATTTAGATATCGCAAGCATTGTTCAGGTTTAACTTCTTTTTTTCTTTCCTAGCAGGACTTCCGGGAGGAAGAAGTGAAGAGCAGTGGAAACGGGCCCAAAATTCCTGACAAAGCTTATTGTTGTAGATACAGTGGATGTAGCCGCCTCTTTACCACATCCCACCATTTGAAGGTAATCTCTCCTGCCTCCCCAAACTTCAACCTAAGTGCACAATGACACCACTAGAGAAACTTATCTAACAGGAAATCATGAACGCCACCAATAAGAGATGCAAGTCTGCAGTTTATCTGATAATGTTGAGAGGGGAGAGGCAGGAAACAAGTGGTTGAGGACAGCTATAAACTTTTGCTGAAGGCTTGCTATTAGTTTTCTTAGTAGAATACATTTGCAATAAAGCATTAGTAGGATTATTAGTTTTTCAAGTATTCCTTGAAAATATATTTATTAGATTTATTTTGTATAATTCAAAGCAGTGTACTTAATGCCCCCTCCTCCTGTTTTCCTCACAACAACCCTGTGAAGTGGGTTAGGCTGAGAGAGAATGCCTGGTCCAAAGTCACCCAGCCAGCTTCGATACTTAAAGGAGGATTAGGACTCACAGTCTCCTGGTTTCTTTCTAGCACCATAACCACTACATCAGATGGTCTCAAACTGGCTTTTTATGTATTTCAACATTCGTAATTTTAAAAATAAGAAAGTGGAAACTTGCTATGACAAAAAGAATCCTCCTTTCATGTTATACAAAATGAGATACTGTAAGATTGGAGAAATGTAATTTACTTTTTACATTTTACAATAAACCACCAATAAAAACTATAGCTTAGTTATAGACACACTTCATTTTTAAACTAGCCAAAATTTGCATACTAGATTTGAATCATAAACCATGATTGTTCCAACCTTATTTTGAAGTTGAATTAGCCAGGGTTTTCCTTAATGGTTTTGCCAAAGAGGCAGCATGTGAGCCCTAGGTTTGTGCATATTAAGCCACAGTTTTGTATTCCATCCAAAAGTAATCTTTGCAAAGTAAACAAACATGTCTGTGCATCTCTCTGACTGTCTCTCAAAAATTCAAAAATAGGTTTGAATTCTCAAGTGAACATGGTAGAATGAATTAGCCAAACAGCTGCAATAAGGCTAAGATAAAAGAAAATGTAAAAAACCTGAAATTAGATCACTGAAAAGTCACTTCCCTCTTTACCAGCCTTAGGTTCACAAGTATTCATGCATTTTAATATTTCAGCCAGTTGCAGGACCAGTTTTGGATGTAAAGTGCCACATAAAGTAGAAATATTGCTTTAAGTAAGTAAATTTCATAAGGATATTACAATTCAAAACACCTATGTCATAAACATTTTAAAATATGATACTTTAGATAAGGTTTTTTTTTTTTTTAACAAAGAATACAAGATTGGGGCCCCAAATAGCACCTCACTAACTGAGCCCTCTCCCTGCTTTATAATATCTAATTGAACAAAACTCTCTATTTTCAGGGCATTATACCAATATTGACACAAGGAGTAAATAGAATTGATGATATATGGAAGTGCTGTTTGGCTTTTGAAAATGTTGCATTTTATGTAATACTGTATGTAATTTTGCTCTCATTTCAGACTGACTGAAATATAATTAGCAGGCAGGGTTGAATTTAATGAATTGCTTTAAACAAGCAAATATTAAAAGACACATCTGTGTATTTGTTTATAGCAGGGGTTCTCAACCTTGGCAATATGAAGATGTGTGGACTTCAACTCCCAGAATTCCCCAGCCAGCCATGGTTGGGTTTATAGTATAGGTTTATAGTATAGACTCCTGGTTTATAGTATAGACTCCTCCTTAAATTCCCACCCATGTAGAAACTTTAAAAGTAAGAATAATTCATTGATGCAAGGAAGACAAAACAGAGTAAAAACCCCATAACAGAATTGGAGAGGGAGAGTCTGAGGGCTAGCCTCTTCTATCCTCTCTGGCCTGAGCCTGAGCGTTTTTCCTTTACTTTCTTGAAGGTGCACGAGCGTGTTCACACGGGCGATCGTCCATACCAGTGTGATTTTACAAGCTGTGGGAAAACATTTGCTACAGGTAAGGCATTTGCTGCGAAACCTTCAGAACAGCAACAATGAGAAATTGTGTTGCTGTGGTGTAATTACTTACGATTGAGGATGAAGATGTAGCTTTGAGCTATAAACGGTGATGGAAAAAAATATAAATTCAAGGTAAAGGTGTAGCTCTGGCTATTTTTATCTTCAGAGCTACATGGTTTATAGTCTTTATGTTGCTATGCTATGTGCACTGCTTTGTGACACCAAGTTTTACCCTGACAGGATATAGTCTGAAGAGCCACGTGAGAACCCACACTGGTGAGAAGCCATACAAATGCCAAGAAGATTTATGCACCAAAGCCTTCAAGACTTCTGGAGATCTCCAGAAACATATCCGAACACATACTGGTATGTCCTGCAAGGTTTATTATTTTAGTTTAAGGCTAGCAGAAACTGATGTTTTGGAAGAAAGATAAGAAAAAAGAAGGCTATATATTTTTAGAAGAGTTTTCTAGATTTTCAGAAAGCTTGTTTTTTCATTCTGTACTAATCTCACGTTTTATGGTCAGTGACACATCAAATATTCAAACAGAAATGTGACCATCTATTTCAATGGCACGTCAGAGGCTACACTGCACAGCAGGCAGGATGATGGGCAGGGGGGAAAAATGTATCAATAAAATAGCTGTATTACTACTGATTATGTTATTCACATTAATTACTTTAATTCTTTAAATTTTCAAAGCATATACTTAGAATTTTCCCTGCCCTCTTGCATCTCAGTTGATTCTCAGGTTTAAAATAAATTAAGTATGTGAGGAAAAAAATCATCAAAAAATTAAAAGAACTCAGGAGAAGACAGAGAGAGAGATGGCAGTGGCCTTGGGGTTTGTCTAATGAGTAATGTCTACTCATTACAGTAACAGAATATAGAGGATGTGGAGGCTGATCTCCCCACCACACTGCTCTGGCTGCAGGTTGTGCGCCTGTGTTCTTCAGTCAGTCAGTCAGTCAGTCAGTCAGTCAGTCAGTCAGTCAGTCAGTCACTACTTCTATGCAGTTTATTTCCAGAGATTCTGAAGAGTGGCTGATCCCAAACAAGGTGGCACTGAGGGGAGGAGAGTATCAAAAATCTGTGTGAACATGTTAATAAGTCTCTAAATATGGCTCACTAATCACTAGTCAGTCTGTAAAATTAGGCACTGATGAGCAAATGTTCTTCAACCTTACTTTCAGTCCATGGTGGCTATTTATTTGATACAGCTTTAGAATAGCTAGAATGAGGCACTGTTTCAGTTGTAGTTTTTAAGAATAATACTTTGACAGTTTTAAGTTGTTTGGCTAATCTAGTTTCATGTATATTTTAATATTTGGCTGTGTGAAATTAAATTAAAAATATAATGAGATCAAAGATAATCACCAGACAAAATGGTATTCGTACCACTAATGGTATGCTTGAAAGAAATGAAATATTTATCTTGAGTTTTCTGTGGGTTTTAGTGGTTAACTAAGGATTCTACTATCTGTTCTCACCATCAAGGTGAGCGGCCCTTCAAGTGCCCTTTTGAAGGCTGTGGCCGCTCTTTCACCACCTCCAATATACGCAAGGTCCATATACGAACACACACAGGAGAGCGGCCATATATGTGCCCAGAGCCCAACTGTGGAAGGGGTTTCACTAGTGCCACCAACTACAAGAATCACATGAGAATCCATACAGGTAAAGTTCAAAAAATACATTCACCGTCTTGGTTTTTATCTGCTTTTACTTGTTTTTTTGCTGGTTATGTTTCTGAATTGTGTTGTATTTTGTTTTCTTTGTTATATTGTGAGCCACCCAGAGTTGTTCGCAGTTGGGCAGTGCCTAAATCAATTAAATTGAATTAAATTAATTAAATTAAAACTTGCAGTTTTCTGTCATCTAATTGTGTTTGGCGAGCCAAGTTAAATTAGCCCAAGGACTCATATATGGATTCAGTACATAAAAAATGATGCTGATCTTGTGAGATTATCAGAAAAAGCAATAGATTGTTAATGTAATAAAGTAAGATAATTTGAGCTGGATTTGACTCTTTTTTTCCCTTGACTGCTTAAAGTAGTTGTAGCTATGTTGAAGCCCACAGGATGAAACACTGGATTTCCCAAACTTCCTCTCCCAAAGGGCCTCTGGGTATTCACATCCTGGCCTTGCTTCCTGCTTTGAAATAACAGCGTCATAATTTCTGCTGCCAGCACCTTTCTTCTTGAACATCTGACATCTTTCCTCTAACTTCAGTGTGCAAGACAGGGCTCTCTCATCTTTCTAGCGATTAAAAGGTCAGAATGCAAAAGTTTAAGTAATTTCAGCAGTGCCGCAAGAAGGTCAGAAGGAGATTCTAAAGGGAAAAAAATCACAAAGACAGCCTGAAGCATCAATAAGGGCTGAAAGTAAACTCCCAATTCTATAACTTGTACAGAAATAAAGAAAATAAGACTTAGCACAACACAGAAAAGATAAATCCAAAACTTAGCATAAATTCCTAATTATATGTGCTTCATGTTTCTACAGAAAATAGCAGGATTCCTGAAGTAAAGATCCTCTGTTTCCTTTCCAGGACTTTTCCAGCTTCTTGGTGATTTCAGATGTTCTTCAGAGTCTGCAGGGAAAGATGGGTAGCCCCATCCTTTTCCCACTGACTTCTTCTTTTGTTCTTTAAAAGGCAAAACCTTTATCTATCCAGAAGAGAGGCTAGAGTAATCTGACTTGTATGTGACAGAGCCATTCCTCACTCATAGAGTTGTGGATTATAAATCTGCAGTCTGGCATGTAGATTACATTCCCAATAATCCTACACTGCAATCTTGTGCATGTTTACTTGGAAAGGAACCCCATTATGTTGAATTGGTGTTATTCCAGCAGTAGCTCTAGGACTGCAACCTTTAGGCCATGAATCCATGAATAAAAAGCTGATTTCTCTATCTGAATCCTAATTCTGTTCCAGGGGAGAAGCCATATGCATGCCTGGTACCAGGCTGTGGAAAACGCTTCACAGAATATTCTAGCCTCTACAAACACCATGTAGTTCACACACATTGCAAACCATACACTTGCAACACCTGTGGCAAAACCTATCGGCAAACGTCTACTTTGGCAATGCATAAACGTACCATGCATGGGGAGCTAGAGGCCATGGATGAGAGTGAGCAAGCCCTCTATGAACACCAGATGGAAGGTGAGTAAGCACATATGGTGGCCTTGTAATTCTTGTCACTCTCCAATTTGCTGTCATACAGCTTTGTTTCCATTTTGTTTTCAGTTTGGTCTGCCTATAAAGCCACTTGAATGCTCTCTCTTAATTGGATTCTTCTTTCTTTGTTCTCTCAGATACCATAATGGATAACAGCATGCCTCCACTGAAACACCAATGTATTGTTTCTATGAAGATGGAAGATGAAGTGCAGGAAGATTCCATACCATCAGCAGCAGCTCTTGTTTCTCAGGATGGTGTAGAGCAGGTATAAAGGACAATGGAAGAAGATATTCTTCAGAGCTGAAGTTAAATTAAAGGAGAGAGAGAATTCTTTATCCAAGGCAGATCAGTTGAAACAATTCTAATTGGGGAATATATTCTCATAATTCTCTAATTCTAAGTATCTCACCAGTTCATCTGCCTGAAATTCTCACATAATTTTTTCTTAATCTTAGCTTCAGTAGCAGGCATGTTAAGGATTTTATGACATCTTAAAGGAAAGTTGAAAGGAAATTATTGGAGGTGCTGTTTTTAGTATGATTTAGAGGCTTGCTAAAACATTTTCACTTACCACGATCTAAAGCTACATACTGATTATACCAGTTTGGGTGAGTGAACCTTATGATGTGAATTATTCTCATATCTTGATTATGAATAGAGATGTGGATCCTGATTTTACACAGTTTTAATATATCTTGACTTAGATGTTCAGTAACCAAGATACAGTAATTTTCATTTAATTATTTTAGCACTGGAGATTCCAATTTGATAGGCAGACTTTCAAGTAAGTGATTCTTCCTGTCATAATGAAGCAGAGTCAATGGCTTTTGCTATGTTTAAAACCCAAAGGCTGTTCACTGTCTTTCCCCTGCATGCACATATATCAATGTACAACTGGGCAGTAATTGGCAACTGGGAAAAGTAATGCATTTAAGAGAGTGGCAGGAACATATATAATAACTTTCTCTGTGTTCTTAGCCTACTTAGAGGCAAATAGGTTAACCTATTTTTGGTGTTCAAGACTGCAACATACTTCTGACCCTATTAATTTGATATTATTTTGTCTGTAACCTGTGATTTGTCCTGTCTGATATTCATTTATTGTTTGTAGATTAGCCTGTTTCAGAAGGACTTAGCAGACACTTAACAGTGATATAACCATAGTAACACAAATTAGCCCTGCAACATTTGTGACCTAAGAAGAGTCTGGTACAAATACTACGACTGTGGTTAGCACTGTTGGAATTGGGATACATCTTGTACAGAGATCTTGAAAATATTTCACTTGGACATAGTCTCAGAAAGTAATCTTTTAAATGTAGCTGTTATACCAATGTGATATTTTTCAGGTCACAATAGTAACTTCTGGGACACCAGTATCTGAAGATTCATTCAGAGCATCCATCCATGATCAGCACTTGGCAGTGCTAGCAACAGCTAATGGTACTCATGTTGCTGTTCAGGTAGACACATACTATTTGGGGTTGCTATCTCAATCATATATAGTACATCAAAAGATCTAAATGTAAAACAAATATTACATGCCTAAGCATTAAGCAACATAACCATAAACTATTCAACAATAAACTTTTAATAATGTGCTGAGAATAATGTCATACCTTGCTAATGAAGTCACAATTTGCTTATTAATACCTGCCACCTAAAATATGGGTGTAGCATGAATTACCCTAAAATTTCTATTAGGTAACAACATTTTTACATATACAAACCACTGGACCAAGTTCAGAGGAGGACTATCAAGATAATGAAGGAACTGGAATCCAAGTTCCTTGAGGAAGGTTTAAAGGAACTGAGAATCTTTAACATGCAGAAGACAAGATTTAGGGGAGATGTGATAGCAGTCTTCAGATATTTATACTATGGCCTAGAAGAGCAGGGCTAAACCAATAGGTTAAAACGTCAGAGAAGTAGATTCAGGCTAATACTATGAGGAATTTCCTGATGATAAAAGCTGTAAACCAGTGGAATAAGTTGCTTCATGAAGCATGTTTTCCTTCAGTGGAGGTCTTCAGACAGAAGCTAGATACAGTAGGTATTTGTCCAAAATGCTTTACCAGATTCTTCACTGACCATGAAATTGGACTGTATGACCTCTGAGGTCCCTTCCAACTCTGGGATTCTATGAAATCTCCATACAGTCAACTTCACTGGATTGAGTTCACCCCTATTCTAAATATACTTGCCAACTGGGTTCACATCTCCTGCTAAGCCATAATATGTTGAATAAATCACAGCTGGCATGGTATATATATAGCACATAGCCATCCTGTCTGAGAATGATGAAACTGAGTTTCAATGCACTACAAGACATTAGAATGGGAAAACTGGTTTGCATATAAGCATGCAAAATATTGTTAAAATTAGGTAATATATATATATATATAACTATGTTCCTTAAATGTATCTTTTTGTGCTTTTTTTCCCACTCTGCACTTTTTAGATTTCCACATAATTCAGTATATTCTTTGTCTTCACTTCCTCCTTGTACTACTTCTACTTCTGCATATAAGTCTTCCAATAATAACCACTCATAATAACCAGAAGCTCTTGTCACAGTTTAAACAGTTTATATAAAGCAAAGCCAATAACTGTTAATTTTGCATTCAGTGTTTTTGCTTTAAAATAAATTTAGGATGTTTGGGTTTTTTTTGCCATATTCCCTTCTACCAAAACCAAGTTGCTTTCACATCCCTACTGTATCTTAGAGCCAGTCCACACAACAGACTAGCAGGCTGGCTAGGGACAGTATGGAAGCCTACAGCCAAATTTATCTTCTTGAATAAAATGCCAAGTCATTTGGAAAAGGCAAATGGTTCTTGTTACTAGCATTGCAGGACTGAAGAAAGGAGTCACCCATCATTTCCATCCTCCCTTTAAGATAGCTGTTCTTTTAAAACAAAATAAAATGCAGCTACTATATTAGGCAATCATGGTGATGTAAAGGTGTGATTTGCTCCTGGTGTGTTTGCCTCCTACCTTATGTATAATATACGTTCTTTGAGCAGGTATGTTTTACAAAAGAACCCATCTGAGGCAACAATTTGCATGGTTCCCATATATATATATACATCTCTTCAAGTACAATTCTATAAATGGAATATATTTGAGTATATGGGTCTGAAACTCATTCCTTTGCTCCCCCTGTGCATCATCTGGTTTCCTCAATCTAGCAACTCCCAAATGGAGTTTTGACTAGTAAAGAGTGGAAAGAGATTGTTGAATGCATTACTGGCCTACCCCTCACACTTTTCTGAGAGTAGTACAAGGGTGCTGCATAATTTTCTTTGATAATTGCAAGAGTTTTCAAAGCAAAAGTTATAGAATCAAATCTCAGAAATCATTGTTCTTCCTCAACTCATTCCTGCTTGTATTCTTTATCACTCCTCAAACTGCAGATTTAAACCACTTTGAATGTTTGAAAACCATGTCTTATCACTTCCTTTTCTAGTTGGAAATGCAACAGAGCCTGGGAAGTACAATCAGTGTGGCAACTACTTCAGTTCACCAAGAGTCTGCAACTCTGAAAACAGACACATTGAAAAATGGATGTTGAGACTGAGCATTTGACAGGAATGAAGTGCTGTGCAGAAACAAGAGCAGTTGGATAGACAACAGATTCTTCAAGGGCCTGCAGTTCAGGAGTCAGGTGATGGGTAACTAAATGCCCATCTGAATCTAGAGAGTTTTTAAAATTGTTTACAGCTAGTCAGTGCATGCAGTTGATAACTGACAATAGATGATGGAGCAACATTGTTGCTTGACACTTTTTAAATAAATGGACCAACAATATGCTTTATGTCCATTTTAAGAAAGCAACTTGTCTGGGATAGCATTTGTCTTATCATTTGGATCTTTTTCATTTCTGGTATATATTAATGGAGTAAGCACTTGTGTTTCACTGACCATTTTTGGATTGGAAAATCTTTTAAGTTGGACTTTTATTGGATTTCAGCAACAAGAACTTTTATCATTTAAAAATGTGTTTAGCAGTGAATGTCCAGAAAGGGATCACAGCTACTCCATATCCTAGGGAACTATCAGCAGGAAAGCAATGAAGTGCCCTCTGGGTGGACTATCAGTGGCAGTTCCAAGATGCATGCCATTGGGAACAGGCAAATAGCACTGTGGAGGCTTTCCTTTTTTTTCTCAGTCTACCAGGGCCACCTCTAAATATCAGCAAGAATCTAATAGACGGAGGTAGACAATCTAAACTGAACTTGGGAGTAAATTAAATTGGTTTTGTGTAACATTTTATTTTCTTCTTCACTCTAGAAGAGGTTTGGATGTATATTTGATAAAACTTAAAAGTTGTTTTCTATTTTCAGAAACAGCTTCAGCTTTACCATTCCATTCCTCTCCTAATCCCATATATTAAGATCATTTGGTAGATGAAGTACAGATTCTCCTACCCCCAGGAATCCTAACAACAAGATCAGGAAGGGTTTAAGCTTACTCCTACCACTAGTTATCAGCGTAGAAAACAGTATGTTTCCTTGTTGCCAATTAACAGCCAAGAAGCTATAGTTTTGATCAAGAATCTATGGTGGTGGTAGAGAAAGAGGTCTTTCTGTACACATCCCAATCCTAATGAAAATTGTCATTTTCCTGCTGGTAATAAGTGATGGTTGATTGTCCATAAAAAGTGGTGAGGTTCTGTGGGCCACACAAAAATCAGATTGCAGGTTCCCCACATGTCCTAGGGAGGATATGGTATTCTGCCATCAAAATGCATGTTATACAACTGGAAAGAAGAAAACCAGTTTTGTCCAATCAGCCTGCCAGACGAAGATTGTTTTAAAAGAGCATCATCTACTACATTGTCAATTTGCAACTGATACTATCTTACTTAGTTTTTTGTATTACTGTCTGCTGTAACTCATGAAATAATATTATACTCCATAGTGTATGGACAATATCTCCTGCTCTGTTGTTTGGTTTACCCAGCCATTGCCCCTTTCTTTTGTGTTTATATTTGATCCCAACACTTAATTCCAGAACAATAATGTCACAGTATGTGGTTAAGCTGGAACACTGAAACAGAAATTGGCTTAAGGAAAATGAGTGTTCCTCTTTGTGCTCTGATTCTGACAAATCAGAACTTTAATCCTTCAAAAATGAGGTCTCCTAAAAAGACCTGATCAAAGCATAAAGGCAGAGTGAATGGAGCTGTTGCCAAATCTCGAATCTTACTTTCCCCCTTATCATTCTTTACATATCCTGGCTAGTCATCATAGCTGTCTTCATTTTTCAGAGAAAGAATGATAGGTCTGAAATACGCACATTTTTCTTTGTCTCCTCTACTTCTCACAATATGTTTCTTTTCCCTTAAAGGAAGGAAAGTAGATAGGCATTACTGCTAGGTTTTCCAAGACCAGCCTGACTTTTAGAAATTCCCAGATAAGCATCCTGCAATGCAGCTAGTAAATTTGGAAACTGGCACTTGGGCACTGCAGGGTTAAGAATAGGGACCTATCCTAGATGAAAGAGGATGCAAAGCAACAAGTGAGGCAGAGGACAGGTCTGTGAGCAGCAGGGAGTTGATAAATGCTCAGCAAAGGACAGCTGACTGAAAAACAATTAGTTGGGTTTTTGTCTAAAGTGAAAATAAAGATGAGCGCTATATGCTTAACTGTTAGATGCCTATTAAAAACAAAGACATAGCACTGATTTTTAAAATGGTTAGAAATCTCAGTTGTGGATTATTTGGTAGATGAAAAACTCATGTTTTAGGAAAAATAATATGGTTGCCCCAAGTAATGTTTTAATCTCAAAGAGAATGAGCTTTTGTACACATATTTCTGGGTCTGAAAATAAAAGTACCTTGCAGGCTAAGCTAGTACTTAATTCTAGGACATTCTTAAAATTTCTGTAGCTTTCTTGTGTTGCAGGCACACAATAGTATTTGTTAAGCATGCATGGAAATGGGATGCAACGTTTTAACTATGGAATGAAATTTCTACACATCATCTGTGGAACTGCAAACCAAATTGAAATTTTTGAAAGGCCTATAGAAGAATTAGCTCTCTCTCCTTCCCAATGTCTGATTTTTTGGGTGGAAGTAGAATTTACAGCGTGGACAGAAAAGCTGTGTTTTATCCAACGTGGTATCAGATATTTCAAGTTGAATCACAGAGTACAATCCTAATCACTCTTCTCTGAAAAGAAAGTGTCAAGGAACTCAGTGGAGTTTACCTGCTTTCCAAAGTCCTGGATCACACTATACTTTGGGCTGAATCTTTAAGAAAAGAGAACTTTCCCCATTCAGTTGAAGTCAATGATTTAATGTATTCACAAATCTAATTCTGAGGTGACTAGAACAGACTGGACTTGTTTTTCTTGCTATTCTGATTGCAGTGTGATTAAAATATTAGAAGTGTTATTTTCTTCCATAATTAATGACACTATTAAATATGAAAATATCTTTACAAGCATAAGTGATATATTAAGAAAAAAAATAGGCCATTGCTAATAAACATTCAGAATTTACTTCCCATTTTTAGAAAAATGGACTTAATTTAATATTGTGATTGAGACACTATTCAGAAGTTTTCTTCCAGCCTGACAAATCATGTTTTGTTGCAGTGCCCCATGGTTCCAGACCACCTTGGGATGTTCAGTAGGGGAAGGTAAATCCTTTGACAATAGCATGGACATGGAACAAGACAAGGCCACTTTACTGATTCAAATAATTCAAAAATACTGTAAATGCTTTGTGCGGGGGGGGGGGGGCTCTTTAAAAGGATTTGTAAGCTCTGGTATTTAAATAGTTGATCACATTAATAGCACATGGATGTTTAATCCAAATAAATCCTAGCAGTAGGTTTAACAGGATTTACTCCCAATGATTAAGTAGATAATGCAAAGTTTTACCTTACAGGCCCATGAGCCTTATTTTAGAATAATCATAGGATTGCATTTGCAATTTCCAAGCAAGAGTTGGGCTATAAACAAATGAAAAGCAGCATCTTAGTGTGATTTTAATAACAATACTGGTGACAAACAGGATTAAAATATTTCTTTAAAATTGTATTTTCATTGCCTACATAGTTTTTCACAGAAACTGCAATTAACTGCTAAACTACTCAGCTGCTAAACTGCTAAACTAAGATAACGACTGAGTAAAAGGAAACACATTTCCCCCCAAAGTGATTACAGCCACTAACGCTCCATTCCTATCTCCAGAAACATATTTCCATCCCTTTCCATCCTCCGTCCCTCCTTTGCTCAACACTGACCGGCCGCTGAGTATGTTCCGTCCACATAGGGCTGCCCCCCAGTCCTTCCCCAACCTTTTTCCCCTAATTTTTTTTGTACAGTACCTTGTCCCATTTTTAGTATCTTTTTGCGATTGCCTATTCCCCAGTTTTATTTGGAGGGTGCCGTTTTGCCCATATAAGCAATGGCAGGCAAAACTCTTCTTCCGATGTCATCTTCCCGCTAAATTCAGCGCAATTTATTTCCAAGCTTCCACTAATTGAACAAGTGAACAAGTTATATTAAAATCAGTCAGCTTACTCCGGAGTAAGCGCGCAAGCAACCCGGGCATGGAAGACTGAGGGATGCTGGACTCTTGCTCGCTTGACCTACATTGGACACGTCCTTGGGGTTTAACGAGATGAGAAGTTTTCTTCTTCCTCTTTGCATTCACGTATTACCTTTCCAGCCGACTGAGAAACAAACCAAACGTGTCGGGAGGAGGAGGCCAGCGAGGCGGACCAAACGACCAGGAGGAGGCGCTGCAGCTCCAGAGCGCGCCCCTCCAGCTGCCGCGAGCGGTTGAACGCCGCGCTGAGAGTTTCGCGACCGCTGGAGGGAGGTTCCTCCCCGCTGAGCAAGCAGATTCTGCGCCTGGTGCCCTGCCCTGGAGGCATCATGGAGCTGCGGACGGAGCTCTTAAAATCTATTTGGTACGCCTTCACGGCCTTGGACGCGGAGAAAAGCGGCAAAGTCTCCAAATCTCAGCTGAAAGTAAGTAAAAGCAAACGAGCAATCCAAAAGAGCCGCTGAGACGCGGGCGGGAAGGGCGCGAGTCCTGCAGACGCGAGGAAGGCGGCGTGCTTGTCAGAAGAGCCCGCGCCCAGCTTCGGTCCTTCTAGCTTCGCTCCAGGAGTTCAGTGGGCGCGTGGTTTGCGGGTTTGGAGGCGATCTGAGGGCAAAATCACATTAAAAAGAAAAAAAAAACCCTCTTCCATTCAAAGACAGGGACGTTAAGGTTTTATTTATTTTGTTTTCGTGGAAACACTCTGAAATCCTGTAATCTTGTACCCGTTGTTTCTCTTCATTCGGGGCGGGAAATGTCAGCCGAAGAAATAAGTATTATCTTCCATCCTGTTTTGCGTCCTTTGCTCTCTTAAATCCACGGTAAGGTGTTGTTGAAAAAAAAATTGGTTGAAAAACTCAAATATCGTGATGACTCTGTGGAAACTAGTGTTGGTCAATCTAAGAGGTTCCTCCTATGCAGAGCAACTATTCTGCAAAGATTGGTCGTTTTTTCTTTCCTTTACAGTGTTGATATTTGCTCCTTCCTCCCGCGGTAACCGCCTGGGTGAGTGTGAAAGATCTTACATGGAAGTAACAAGATTCTCTATTTTGTTTAGAGGGGAAAAAAAGAACCTTTTCCTCCTGCATTATAACTTTTTAATAGTAGCAAAGGTGATACTTGGATGTAAAATTTAGGGCGGGGGTCTTGTCAGGTGTGGGAAAGAAGATGAGATGTAAATACATGCAAGAAAAGTAGGACAAATAGAGATCTAGTTTGATGCAAATGGCGGTGACACCTTGTGAAATCAGCGCTAAGCAGATGCATCTAAATGATGTAAACGAGGCTCTTTCCTTATTATTCTCTTACATAATGTATCAGCTGAACCAGTGGAAAATTGGTTTGGTCATTCTGGACCATTATCCACAGTGCCAAAAGAATGCAAGCCCTGTGCAGCTGCCGCAGTCCTCAGCACTCCAAAGAACTCCCACACTGCTGCTCTTTGGAGTTACAAGACGTTCTTGCAAGCTTTTGCACCCGAGGGACATGACATGTCAGATGTGCTTTTCCGATGCAAGTATGCTGCTTTAAAACTTCTGCAGAAATTTTGTCTTGCATTGGAGTTTGAGGTTGGATTGTGCTTCTCTCCAAAGATTTGTATTGCATCTTTCTCTAGTTAGATTTGACTAGGATTCTGGCATTCGGGCAGATCCAAGAGCAGAATCTGTAATCTGTTTCTAGTATATATGTGTGAGTTTACATATTGTGCTTTTAAGCAGCTAGCATGAAAAGAAACCCCATTGAAGGCCTGCTTCAGTTTGTGCTTACTAGTCTTGCAGAGATAATGCAAGGCATGAAAGGGTGAGGGCAAAACCATCAGGTCTGAACCATTGCTCCCATTACATCATGGTTACTTCATGGAATAGTGCTGACAGGAATGATTTTATATGCTTGTGTTAGCAAGCTAGCAATTTCCATTCCTTAATCTGAGTGCAGTAAAGTAGGCATGACCATTTCAGATGTTGTACTTGGAAGACTTATTTGATATTTTTGAGTCTGAGGTGCAAGCACAATTTTCCTTCCCTTAAAACACTACATTATGTTATTTGATATATTTTAGCATACATCTGCCTTTCTTGTATCATGGGTCTCCTAGTGGTATGCATTCCCAAATTATCTGCTCTCCAGATGCTGAGGTCTAAATCATCAGTTGAAATAAAGTGACCTGTGCCAGGTGTCTTCAGAAACATGGCTTGAATGTTCATTGTGGTTTATTTTATATAAACTGTAATAACATTGCTAGAGTTATCAATAAGATATCAAACAATCGTGTGTTTATAAACAATGGGATTTTTACTTTCAGGAAGTGTTTGCAATATATAGGCCCATTTAAATGATATGAACAGGAATATTTTTTTATCTACTGTTCTTTTATCCACTAGGGAAAAATCATTTGAAAATGTATTGTTTCATAAAATTAAAACTGAATAAATGAAACGCATAGTGCATTGGTTAAATCTAAAATCCAAGTTGTAATTAACTTTTTCAGGTGATGGTCTGTAGGAAGTACCTGCATTTAAATACAGAGTTCTTTAGGCAAGTTGCAGTTAATATCTTAACAGCCCTCAATGCTTCTCTTTTTCTTTTTAAAATCAAAAGAAGAAACAGATGTTCAGTTCTGTCATCAAATAATATTTCTTTAAAAAATAGAAGAGATTTGCAATATATGGAACATGCCACAGGGTATCTTTCTGTTGCTTGCTTATATACTACTGTCTTTATGAGGCCTGCACAGCAATTTAGAAGGTGCTAAAATGGGGTTATTTACTGTGAATAAGGCTGGCAATGGCTGCTAGTCATGAGGTGTGCCCTTCCTGAATTTGGGGGCAGGAAACAAACGGGGCACTGGTACACTCATGTTTTACTGGTGGGAAAGGATATGTTTCTCTAGCCAGTTAATTGGCCCGGTGTTGTACTGATTCTGGTAGCAGAAGGGGAGTTAACGTATGATATTCTGCAGTATGGCCCAGTGTCGCTATCTAGGCTTGGTAAAAGTGCAAAGGGAGTGTTAACTCCATAGTAAAAACCATGCTGGCAAGGACTGGAACAGGTGAACAGACCATGGAAAGAGTGCAGGATTTTACTTGTATTTGGAAGACAGTCATTTAGACACGAGGTCTACTCAGAGATGGACAGTAGGCTTATTTATTAAAAAAAAGAATGAGACAGGGTGTTCACATTTTTCAGAAGCCAGGTCAACTCAGTTTAGTAGACTCTGTTACTAGAGATTGTCAGTGCTGTGTTACCAAAGCTGCCACAAATGACATGCAGTTGTTAAACAAAAGAACTGTGCTAAATAAAAAAAAAAAATCCTAACAGCATGAGATCGCATATCTAGGATCTTTGTGGTGTGTTTCTTCTCTCTACATTGAAAAACTGTACTGAGTGTCTCTGAGATATGCTTCCTGTGGGGATACACACATTGGTGTTTTTAATCTTTCAGTAAGATTTTTCTTCCTGTTTAAGTTATAGAAGGCTCTTGTTTTCTAGTAGTTAGTGCTTGCTTTTAGGGTTGCATATCTGCAGGAGTTGATGTTTTGAAGCCTGTCTCCATAGATTGATGAGTTTGGAAAGCCAGGGATGAAAACTGTGATGGAGTAAGTATGGAGTTGCTTGATGGCCATAATGGAATCACTCTCACCCAATCTCTATCCGATTCCTTTTTACAGCATTGAAAAAAAAATGGTTTGTATTTCTTTAGGATTCCTTTTATAATTAGAAATGGAGATAGTATTCCACAGGTGGGCATACTACAGAGTTATATATAACATTGCCAGTTTTCTTTTTTATTCCTTTCCTCGAAATCCTGAATATGGAATTTTCCTTT